TACTTACTTAACATTCTAAATGCTTAGATTCAACTTTAATAGGAGGGAATTCTTAAATGGCAACTGCATTTCAGGCCAGACTCCACAAGTTTGTTGTACCATATTTCTGTATTTTTCCAAATCATATTATCTGGTGCAGATAATAGCTTTAGGTATATAAGCCTCCTGTCAGAAGTTCTTGAATAAAAATATCACTCTGGAAGCTATAAGATGCTTTTCCTATGATACAAAGGGGTGTTGAGTTACTAGAGCTTTTTGTGACGCACTTGATAGCAAATTGTCCTACCATATGTCAAAGTTTTGCTGTCCTTTGGGCAACGGAACTCTTTGTACAGCAGTGGTGGGGAGTGGAATTTAAGCTATTATGACTTGTCTTCCTTTAGGGAAAATAGTTATTTGTTTATGTCTTAGAAGTTAGAGACTGGAGAAAAAAATTGCAAGTCCTGTTGCAATTATAGGATATAGCTCTCTCTAGAGAATGTATTAAATGCAGGCGCTGATTTCAATCTAAAAGTATTCTGTAAGTTATTTTTTCTTTTCTCTTGCATGTGTTTTCTTTTTCTTGCATTTTAATTTATAACTTTGGTGCTGGTTCCTCACCCTTACATTGTTTCCCAGTGTCTAAGATGAAAATATAGTATATGCCAAATTTGAAAATATAGTATATGCCAAATATAATGGATTTTGCAGAGAGAACATTAATATCCTCTGCATATTACCATTTTTTAAATCAAAATCCCCCCAGATGAGCTTAGAAAGTTGAAAATCCTCACGTTTGGTTTGGAGTTTAAAAGTGACGTGTAGCCTGCAGTTGGTTTTTGTCTGTTTCAACCAAGAGTATGCACTGCTACCAATCACAACACTGGTAGTCTAACACAAGGGAGAGATGTGATTTTTTAGGTAGCCAGGAGATGCCAAACTATTCTAGGAAGCTAAAGTTTAAAAGCAACAGACATTCATTTTTGTATTCTCGTAGACTACTCTGCACCAGAAGTGACAGACTGATGTCAAAAAGGTACTAAAATTAATGCTGCTTAACAATTGTCATGGTAAATACGGTCGTTGTTTGAGAGGAAGATTATATGAATGGGCATGAGATCAACTCGGGGTTTTCAGCTTAAAACACTGGGTCTTAAAAGAAAGCCTAAAATGACCTAATACATGCTTGATGCTAGGAAAAGAACATTTAGCTTGCAATGTTATAGTGGTCATTTTGAAGCAGAATCAGGGATTAAAATCAGTATTTTTGATGCATATTATTCAGAATTGAGAACATCAGTGTGATGGTCCCATTGAATGATTCCTCTCAAATAAATTCTGATTAGTATTTATCTACTGCATGTTTAAATCTGGAGAGGCAAGGTTTTTTGGAATGTCTTTTATTAGACTATCTCTGAAATTGGGAGCGCCATTGGACAAGATTTCAGGCAACAGGTACCCTGCTTTTAAGTACATGACTGGTTTAGCTTACCAAATAAGAGCATGGTTTAGAACAAATCATTATTCAGCAATTCCTCTTGAATTGAAGGAGACCTGCTAGTGGTCAGCCCCTTTGAAAATGAAGCTTATAATACAAGTCTATTAGGGTGAAGAGAACATCCTTAGAGAAGCTAATTCAGGCTCTGAAGAACAGAAATTTCCTCATTTCAGGAAATTGCATCTCCAGTAATTATTTTCCACCTGCTTTCTTTTTGGAAATGGCCTAGCAAAATTTTTCAGACATCTTCTCCAAAATTTTGCACAGATTTTTGACTTATAATGGGGCTGATATCACCATCTCCCCAGCACCTCCCATTTTAAGTCCTGGAGCATGGTACTGCATAAATTAAATCTTTTACTTTGCAAACTTTTAACCATTTGGGATGAATTTTTCCTTATTGTGTGTCTGCCTCAACTGGGATATGGCCAAAACAGTACAGTTATTTTTGAGAACAAGACCAGAGAAAAGTACATTTTTTTTGCCCATGTTGGGGTTTTTTTTTTTTCCTTTTTCTGAAAAACTCTTCTGCATGTATACCAGGGTTGGTTCTGTATCAAGGGTATGCCTTTACCTGGCTTGAGAATTTGCCCATATTTGAAAATCTATACCTTGCTTAGGCCTTTGAAAAATTAAAGTTTACATGCAGTCAGTAGAGACTTGTTAGACCCTGACAGCTCAAATGTCCAAAGATTCTGTCCATGTCAGACATGCTCCAGTGGTTTATGGACTCTAGTGCTGACTAGATTGGGTATGCATCATTCCCACAGAGTGACTGAATATAAATGCAAGGTGGTAAATTCAGGACTGGGAGAAGAAGTTTGCTACTCCCAAACTGTTCTATGCTGGGATGGAGATGGGCACTGGAAGTGAGATTAAGGAACTCTGACTTGTGTGCTTTCAGTGCCCCCCTCCCCTCCCATTTCCATTGGCACCATGCAACCCAGAGAAAGAAGTTAGCTGATTTTAATATAACGTGAGGAGTGAGTTGGTTTGGTAAAATGAAAGGTGAGGATGGAGCCAAGGGAATATGGTGAGACGATACTGGAGGAAAGGGAGAAAACCCGTCGTGAAGTTGGAGGAGGTGATACTGGGACTGCATGGGCAAGAGGAATGGGGCTAGGGTGGGAAAGACAGGTTGACATTGATTGGGCAAGGAGGCTGAGTCTGGGAATCGGTAAAAGAGTCTGGGAGTTGGTAAAAGATTTACTTTGCTTGTGGGCGATTGTGGAGATTGGTTGAGGAGCTGAAGTGTGGGACTTGGTAAAGAGTCTCAGACAAGGAGCCAGTGAGTGGGCTGGGGAGAATGAAATTGAATAAGGAGACTGGGACTGGGAGTAGACCTTAAAGAAAGAGACAGTACTGAAACACAGCAGGTCAGGGTCAAGCTTAGGGGCAAAGGGTAGAAAAGTCAGCGTCTACCAGA